TCTCGAGGATATAACATGATTTGACTTATGACCAATGCAAGCAGTCTGCTAATATGGTTGGTGCTTTCCATTTGCTTTTTTCATCCTAAGACAACATGATGATCCCAAATGAATTTCCATGGTACTTCAGGCCCTTTGTGTGATCATGTGTTGTGAAAGTTCCAGGCCGTTTTTATGTAATTTTTGCCAATAACTCTCATTTACCCTCCCGTACAGGTAGCCAAACGTGGTAATGAGCAACCCCTAATAGATGGAGGTTTTGATGGGAAACTAATCTATAATGGGAGGTGTCCATTGTCAAGTTTGATTACCGGAGGGCAACCAAATTGAGGGAGAGTTGCAATATCCAATTTAACAAACTTCAGAATGCCAGTCGCCATCATTTTTTAAAACTGTTCCCAGTCGTCCACACTTGTTACGGCATCATGGCTAGTTTCATGGCCCACACTTGTTCCCACAGAACCGAGGTTTTCCACTGAAGCACTTGTCCTACTATTACCACAAGTACTATCGAAAGGCCTGGAATTTCCAGCAATTCAGCGTGCCCGAATTTGTCACTTGGCGTCTGCAATACGGATGTTTTGGGTTTAGTCAAGGGAGGTTGTCAAGTCGAACTGGGTTGGTGTCCCAGTATATGGAACCCCCCTTCCAACCAGTGGTTGGTCATCATGAATCATGCTCCCTTAAAGTTGCCACTTTGGGGTACCTGTTTATGGACAAACCTAATCTAAATAGCACCAAACGGTTCTGTCAATGGAGAGGCGTGAAGGGTCACTGCCCAGATCTCAGTGGGTGCCAGACCTCAACCGCGAGCGCAAGATCTCAGGCATGCTGTAGGTCAGCCAGACTCCGGAAAATGTCAGATAGAATGCCTGACAGAATGTGAGAGAGAATGTCAGAACCGATGCCAGAAAGAATGCCAGCATGAATGCCTGAAAAGATGCCAGATAAAATGTCAGAATATTTGCCAGAAAGAATGTCAGAATAGATGCAAGATAGAATGTCAGATAGAAAGTCAAAGTATACCCCAAAAAGAATGCAAGACAAAATGTCAGAATAGTTATGGCATATAGACTTCCAGGTGGTAAGTCAGAAACTATGTCAGAATAGTGTTTCATGTTGGGAATCACTGGACGAAAATAATTCATTTTACACATTTATCATAGATAGATAGATAGATAGATAGATAGACAGATATATAGATAGATAGACAGACAGACAGATAGATAGACAGACAGACAGATAGATAGACATATAGATAGACAGAAAGAGATGGTAGGTTGATAGGCTGATAGATTGATAGATCGATAAATTTGATCAATTAGATGGATTAGATTAGATCGATTAGATCAAGTAGATAGATAGATCGATAGGTAGGTAGATAGATAGACAGATAGACAGATAGACAGATTGTTAGACAGATAGACAGGTAGACAGGTAGACCGCTAGACAGATAGACAGATAGACAGACAGATGTAGACAGATATAGATAGATTTAAATATAGATATAGATATAATGATTTACACAGATAGCCAGCTAGTTAAAGATATAGTTTGATAGATAGATGCAGGATATACATTTACACATTGCAGACATGGCATATATATAATATATTAACATATGTTTACACGACTGAACCCACCACAATTTCATTGTTTTTGGCATGTACAATAGCGCAAAAAAACATTATCTATCTATCTATCTATCTACCTATCTATCTACCTACCTACCTACCTATCTATCTATATATCTATCTGTCTGTCTGTCTGTCTTTCTGTCTGTCTGTCTGTCTCGCTAGCTATCTATCTTTTTTAAAATTTAGATACGTATCTTAATGCTACATATATAATCATATATATACACACATATATAGCATCGAGTTAATAATTCCCGCCGGATTAAACAACCTCGACTGCCCCCCCAAAAATGGTAATTTAAAAACAGGTGGTCCCCCTGGAAAAAATATGTTTGGCCTGGACCTAATTAATAAACCACCAGTGCTGAAATCCCATTTTGTTTTATGTTCCAACTCTCTTTATTTTCAAATGGTTTCCTTATTCTATACTTAAGTTGAAACCTCATGAACACCAGAATCCATCACTGCTGATCATTGATAATTTGAAAAAAAATCCCCAAATGATCGATGTCTAATTAAATGCTTTTTGAAAATCATCAGTTTGGATAGCTCCCAAAGGGTACCCCCCATGAGCCCATGTCTTCCATTAATAGTAACCAGAGGGTTCCCCTCATTAATCAACCCCTTCGAAGGGGCCGTTTATTTAGGTGAGAAACTAGGAAAGACCTTACAAGGTCCATCTGACCTTGTGGGGGGGGGAGTTGATTAATCCGATGTTGACATTACATAGTCACACATGTTCATTCCACAGTCTGTAGCTCAAATATCACAGCCGTCATTCACTGATCTCGGGACCCGAGGACGATTTGCTGGAGTTGCTGAAGGATTCCATCAGCCTAGAGGGTGAAGGTCAAGAAGGCCCCGACAATGCCCGATGTTGATCAAAGCCTGGGAAGTTAAGCAACAAACCATGGGTCAAACCTTAATAAATTTATAAATCAGTAAAACACCATTTATAAACTTGGATATGTTCAAGGAATTTCATTAGTTTTAACTTACAAGGATTTACTGAGCAACAATGATGATTTAAGCAACAAAGAACGGGATATAATGGGGCTACAACCAACAAAGATGGAGATATTGCAATGGATAATGAGGGATTTAACAGCAAAACATGTGTTTAAAAAGGTTTTCTTCACATCGAAACGAAGCAGTCAAGTGGGGTTTGGAAGTATATGGCAAGTCCAAACCTAATATTTTCCAGCATGAACCGGAGGATGACACATCCAGCCGTGCCATTGAGTTTGATCTTCGGATGGTATATGTTTGTAATTCACTTAGATGTTTGGTATATGTTTGGTATATGTTTGGTATATGTTTGATATATAGTGTTTTTTTTGTTTGGTATATGTTTGTAATTCACTTAGATGAAACGATGAAACATGATTTGAAAGTCAGCTGGGTTGTCAGAATTTACCCGGGTTTCTTTGTAGATATCCTTTTCCCGCTGGTTCCATTGGTGTCCACCCAACACAGATACCGATAATATTTAATATATGTTCATCTTAAATTTAAACACCCACATTCACCACATTCCAAATCATAACATACATATATATATATATATAGATATATACATATAACTAAATTTATACCAAATAAGAAATATAGTGTATATATATAGCAATATCTGCTGTATTTTTTTTAAATATATATATATACATATACATATTATACATAATATTATACCCTCAATCTAGATACTTCCCCATCTATTGTGGACAATAAACGTATATATATATATATACACATAGTGTTTACATATATACATATACATATGTCATATCATATTTATCATATGTTGCACCATAGTACAACTGTAATTACATTTATAGCTGGGTCATGTCGACAGTCCTCCTCGTGGGCGACCCAGCGGACCACTCATAGTCGATGACGGTGTAAAGCATGTTTCGCTGGCCCAGCGAGCTGGCTTTTGGCCAGCTTGTGCCATGTCGACGCCACCGAACGGCGTCTGCAAGTTTTGAAGCACCTTAGAGTTGATGCAGGGCACTTGATTTCTGGCCGGAGTGTGTCTCCCGGAAATTGGGCTAGTGTTGACCTCGTTTTCGATTTGTCTTCCTAGTCTGAGGTCGCGTCCAGACGTGCGGCCCCTGCTTGCAGGTCATATCCGGGATCGCTGAGTCACCTTCCGTTCGAATGACTGGAGTGGTGATAACGTGATAGGGCCGATAGGGCTGTCTTTTCCTCGTTTCCATTTTTTGAGTTGCTAGAATTGGGTGTGCAATTAAGTTTTGTTTTTGGAAAGGCTCACTGCATCCTCTTGCACCGCTTAGCGCGGCTGGATGCAGTGGATGGTCTGTGCCATAGTGTGCAAAGGCTTTTTGTCACTCGGGCCTTTTGAACCGCTTCGCGCGGCAGCCTGGGTAACATCCATATTATCATATTGGTGTGTTACCGCGGCGCCGTTCCGTGGCAATTCGTTGCTGATTGTTTAACAAAGGGTGGGATGATGGGACGCCCCCACTCCTATCTAGTCCTACCAGTGACAGCAGTGTGTTTGTACAGTGTCGCTTGCCAGACTCTTCGGAGTTTAGTGCTACATCATCATCATCATCATCATTATCATCATCATCATCATCATCATAATTACATTTATAGACACTTATATGGTTATCTTGTAATGTCACAAAAATATCTGTTCAACTTATTATATAATATTATATAACAATATGTAATGATATCAATCATCATCATTATCACAATATATGACTCTATTAATATTTAATAATATATCACTAATGAGAACAAAATATCGGATATAACATAATATTCCCGTGTCATTTCTCATGAATATAGATATGGAGGTTTCCATAAATGGGGGTATCCCTAGTTATTATCCATTTTAGATTGGGATTTTCCCTTATAAACCATCCAGCTATTGGGGTACCCCCCTTTATGGAACCCCCATATCTTATCTTGCTCATTTTCCTATGGTTTTCCCATGGTTTTCCCCTGATCTTACTGCTTAAATGACATTCAAGTCATATTTCTGAGGTACCAAATGAAGTATTAACCATATATTACCCCCATATTACCCATATTATATGCTTCGTTTAGGAACTCATGGGAAACCATAATACCGTAATACCATACATACATACATACATACATACATACATACATACAGAGATATGTGGAAACCCCCATATGGAACCCATGTCTACGGCAGGTCACCTGAAGGCGGACGCCCCGGCGGACGCCTCGCTGGAGCGCTTCGTGAAGCTCACGGAAGACAACCGCCGGGAGAGGCAGAGGCGCATCGATGCAGGCGCCGTGACGGCCGTGGTGGAGCAGTGGAGTCCCTCGGGGTATGCTGAAAGCTGGGGAAGATCCATAGGATGATGGGAAAATGATTGGAATATTTACCATAAACCAAGCAATGCTCAGCTACTTGTGGTGGGACCAACCAATTGGAAGATACTGCAAATGGAGGTTATTTGAAATGTTTGGGGTATCTTCTAATTGGTTGATCATTATCATATAGATACCACGATGATTGATGATTTCCATTGAAATGGACCCAGTCATGGAGATTTCTTGCAATGGATACCCCAGTCATCATCCAAGTCATGGAAGACCATCCAAGTCTTGAAACCTATGGTGACGACTGGGGATCCTCCATTTTCAGAAACGGCCATAAACCACATTGATTTGATTTGAATCAACCTGTTATTGATGTTATTAAGGTTGATTTGATTATAATCAACTTATGTATACTGTTCAACTTATTGACGTATTAAAGCTGGATATGTTTATACGAACAAAAATGGTGGTATAGTGGGGAAAAAATCTATATCATGGGGGTTACAGGGGTAAATTAGAAGGACCTCGGTGCAACGGCACTGTGAAAGATACCAAATGGGCCTTATTTCAGGTTGGTAAATTATTCTGAGTTATCCAGAATTATGTTTCTGATTTGATTATAACCCACCTAGATCCAATGAATTAATGTGTGATGCATATGGATGAGCAAAATTTGGTTCAAACATGCGATATGGACCCACAAAATTGATGCATTTCTTGCCACTGAATCATTGATTCTTGGGGGTCAATCATTTTGAGCCATACCCACATGGGCCTCTTGCTTATACCAGCCGAGCCGGGTTTCTACCAGTGGCGAATAGCAGGTGAACACGTATGGAGTATTTGTTTTGTGTTTTTTCGGTCTCTGGTACCTTTATATGGTGTCAATATCTCGGCTGGTGAACGGAGGGATGTATTGTCCTGCTGCCAGGAAACTTTATTGTAGGAAATTTGTGCAAGATTAGGCATAAGCTGTACAGGTCTCAGATGAGCAATTATATGCAAAGTTGTGTCTTTGTACTATCGTCTTGGTCGTTTCCTAATTCAAACCCAATAGTTTTTTGAGAATGCAATTCACCACTCAAATGCCAGCAATGCACCAGACATCCCCATCCTTAGATGGGTTAAATTTCATGAGTTTTTTGCTAATGGAAATAACCGTGAGCAGCAAAAGATGACAATTTTTTGTGGACCGCTTTTAGCTGCTCGACCTTGGTCTGGCAGCTAGAAACACATTTTGTCCATAATGTTTCCATGTTTTTTCAATGTTTTTTTCTCTGTACTTGATAATTACACAATTTTTTCCGACATTTTCCCCACCATTTCTCCAAATTTTCTCCAAAATTTCCCCAACTTTTCTCCAAAATTTCTTCAACATTTCTCCAAAATTTCGCCAACATTCCAACCCCCAACCCATGTCCTTCCAACCTCTCCAGGTGACGAGACAGCGCGGCTGAAGTTCGCCCGCCCTGCGGCCAGCTTCGGCGCCGTCGGCGCGCCCGGTGTGGCCAAAGGTGCGGCAACATCAATGGACTGGTTGGTGGTTTGGACCATTTTTTATGTTCCCCCATAGTTGGGAGGATGATCCAATCTGACTAATATTTTTCAGGGGGTTGAAACCACCAACCAGATGGAAGGTTTTGAAGCATCAGAACTGTTGTGGTTTATGTTGATCTACCACAAGTATAAACAATGATTTAACAGTAATAGATAGATCAACATAAACCACAACAGAACTGTTAAACACCTTTGGCCAAATCTGGTTTAACAATGATTAACATCAGAACTAATTTAACTTAACAATGAATTACAGTAAGTATTGTGGTTTGATATGGTTTAGTACGGTGAAAATTGGGATTTTAATGGGGATTACATGATTGTTGAACTATCAAAGATATGGTAACTGGCAATGAACCACTGTAAATAATAGGGTTAAATGGGAACAAACTATCCACCAACTATAGTGGTATGTACCCATCAATTGATTTAACTATCTATAAATGGAGCTTTATAGCTGGGAACATATAGGAGAATATGGGAACATCATTTAGGTTCAAAAGTAGGGTATAATAGGGATTTAAATGGGATTTAGATGGGATTTACCGGAATATATAGGGAATATTCAGGGAATATACAGGGGATAGCATGGTGTTTTAACCATCAAAGATGGTGGTATACTGGTGATTTAAACGGGATAAGAAGGATAGATATAATCCAACTTATGGAAATGTACCCTCCGTGAATCAAAAACGTGGTTTTGCTGGAATAACCACCATTTAGTTCGATGGTTTTCCCATTGAAATGCCCATCCAGTTCGGGGATTTTTAGCTAGGCATGTTTGATTACCGGATACTGACAGAAATTGAATATCATTGGAATACCTGGGAATACAATCCTGACTGATGACTGGCGAGTTTGTTCAAATGGTGACAGAACTGAATGGCAATAGAAGGGGAATATACTGGGAATACAATCCTGACTAAGTTTTTTCCCAATTGGGTTTGTCTGGAAGTGTGGGATTGACCACCCATTTATGGCAATGTTCAGAGGGAGAACGCGGTGTTCAACCAAATTGATGGAAGGGGTACCCTATTTTCAGACAAACCAAATTAATCAGTGATTTGGGTATAGTAATCCCTAAAAGACAGAAAACACTACTAGAAGTGTTAAAAGTGACCTGTATTTTTTTTTGGATGGTATAGCTTGCAACGACGCCACCACTAGATCTCCAAGGATGTTTTGAAAGAACTTCTATCTGCCTGCTGCTTCCAGGTTGGTGAAATGTCTCAATTTACCCAGGATTGATGCATAAACAATGAAATATGTTTCATCAACAAGAGTGGAATAACCCAATTATAATTCCATCCATGCTTATCTAGATTACCAGATTAAATGGAATATGTATCAACAGAATTTGGTTTAATCACGAATTATCGGGACAAAACCAATGATTCTGGAATATGAATGGCAAATCCCTAAATGGATTGTTGATGAGTATTTGTCAACAACAACTGGTATATTGATTTATCCGACTCAACAATAATCTGGCCTGTTGGTTTAAATATGTGTTATGTGATGTTATGTGTTTAATCATGTGACTGGGATGATGATGGTCGCCAATGACGAGTCTATTTATTTGGAATAGACAAATCAGGTGTACAGTATAATTTAACACTTAAGATGTTTGGAGATTCAATCAGGAAATATGGGGATCAGAGAAGATATATACGTATGTATATATATATACGTATATTAATATAATATAATATATATATATATATATATCTTGTATGATGTACATTTAGAGACCAGGACCATCCATTCTGGAAATCATTTGGTATGCTGAGTGGTGAATGATAGCAGCCTCGCAGGCCGTTGTCAATGCACAATTTTGGTTGGATTTTGTTAGGAATCATGGTGTTTCAGGTTTGTTTGTTCATGGGTAGCATTCAGATATATTATATATCGTTATATGACAGATGGGGTAAACGCGACATCCCCATATTGTTGGTTGATGTTGGTTGTATTTTCCCCGTCGATTCCAGCGTACCCGATCATTTTTGGAGGTTTCCTAAAATGGTGGTACCCCCAAATCATCCATTTTTGTGGGATTTTCATGGATTTTGGAAAAAATAAAAACCATCCATTTTGGAAACCTCCACATCCCCATCATATCCCCTGGGTGTTCCTGTGTTCCTGGGTTCACCGTTACAGGCGGCTATGGCGGCAAGGGCGGCAAGAGACCCTACCCCCAGATGGGCGCTGCGCAACAAGCCTCCGCACAGGCCGTGGCCTATAACAACAACAAGCCGAGCAGCTTGGGTTGTTTCGGAGGATTCTCCCAACATACCGAGCCAGGTAAGGATTGATTTGGGGCTGTTGGAAATTGATCCAAAGATTGATAAACATAAAGGGTTTATCGGTTCATCCATTGCCAACAACCCATCAGTAAAGTCAAGCACCAGCAAAATAGAATGACATCGCTATTCCATATTTCTACCGGACTCCCTGGTACGCACCCGTGAGCCATTGAGCACCAAAACAATCCCTGACTCCCTGCTATAATTACGGGGCTTATTAAGCACAGGTAGTTAACCATTGAGGTTTTAGTCAGTTGTGGCCTGGTCAAAACATTGTATTAACATGGCTTATGGTCATCCCACCATTAATTATTAGGAGTTCCTTATACTGGGTACCGTATATGAAACCCTATATGCCGCATATGCCCTATATCAATCGATTGATCACCGTCCCTTTTGGGAAAATACACCATGTTTTCTTTTGACTTTTTGGCACATTTAGATCCAGTCAGTTTGTTAAGTTGGACGATCCTCCACTGCGTAAACCAAAATAATCCATCATACGGTTGGGAAATTCAATTCGTAGCTCCAACTAACTCCCCCTGGATCCCCGAACCGCTCCGAATCGCTCCCTCCGCTCACCACTGGATAGCTATAGTGGGGGATTTAAACAAGAAAAATGGAGATTTCTAATGGAGATACAATGAGATAACTATGGGGGAACTTTATTATCTCCCGAGGGTTGGTTAATACGGGATTACAACCCCAGAAGGAACGCCCAGAAGGAAAACCGTTGACAAATGGCACCGGCTGGAAAATCCATGAAAATCCTATTCATTTTGGGGGCCCAAATGGGGGTGTCTTTAATAAGTAGGGGGATGTGATGGGATGTGATTTTCTGCGCCAGCGACGCAAATCTGAGGAAATACTTATGCACCACAGACCAAGGGTGGTCCATATGCGCCTCGCCAAAATTATGGGCGAGGATGATGGCACACTGATGGCTTCGCGATGGAATAGTTGATGCCTTGACACGGGTCAAAATCGAGGATGCCAACCAGGAGGAGGACAAGATAAATCCGAAAGAAATATGAACCATCATGAACCCATAATAGTAGGTGGAAAGACCCAAAGTACGGCCAGAGGACCATTGGACTGTTGTAACAGATAAATCTGATAAACATAAGCCATATGATGTTGATATATTTTGATGATGTTGGATATTGACGGATATTGTTC